GCCCCACACCACTTGAAAACACCGCCAGCCGTAAGTGGCAGCTCCAGTTGGAAACAACCATTTCCTGCAAACGATACACCTTGCTAAGCTACAATTGCAGAGAAATCATGAGAGCATCCATTAAAGCAGAGACTACTTTACAAAACAAAGCTTTATAGACAATGCCAATTTTAAATCACAAACATTTATGTCCTCTGTCTTTTAGAAAAGCCTTGTAACCAAATTACTGTGCATGACACCTTCCTTTTGCAGTCAGACTGAGAATTTTAAGAGCACGGCTTATTCTCAACCAGAAAAGTCTTTCGTCCTAAGTCACCTCTTCCTCTTATCCTCCATATACTGCATTTTACACACAAACATTTATTATAAAACTACATTGTGAGCAGCAATGTACCTCAGTCAGCAAATACACTCCACTTGATGTAGGCTGACAATTAAGAAATGTTCTCATCTCACCTTCTCTTCAGGTGCAGAACTTAGCCACTGTGAACAAAGAGGAAAACAATCACTGTTCACCAATCAGCTAAGCTCTGCACCTCATCAGAGAGGTCTTCGTCTGAGTATAACTAATTATCAGCTGAGTTTCTTCCATGATGCGTCTGCTCCTTTTCTGTTTGGACTTTTTTTTTAAATGGATGGAGAAGGTTCCGAGGTGTGAATCAGATAGTTAACGATGATTTTCATAGTAGCAGCTGGGGTCATGGCTATGTGGTAATCCCTGGCAATGTGATTTTAATCTTAAGTCACAAATCATCATGCCAGGAACCCAAACAGCCACAACATTAAACCTGTGCAGTCACTCTTCCCTCACATGTTCAAGTTTAGAACAAGAGGTATATTTCTTAAAAGTGTTGTTCTTGTATCAATTTCTTTAGATTTTTATTTATTTAGCTTAGCACACACACGTTCCTAGGCTGTCTGAAAGTCAAACAGGTAATTTCTGACTATTGCTAACACATACTTACCACTGGAGACTTGTAGAAATGCTAGTTTTTATTTTCATAGGTAATAAACTATAGGAACGAACTGCACCTTTCTGGCCTTTAGTGCACTTCAGAACACTTAATTAAAGGCAATTACCAGATTAAAGAAATGTTGAACATAATAACCCAGATTTGGGTGCATCTTTGATAACTGGGATTGTGTAACAAGTGGCTTGTTGTTACAGCCCTACCTGTTTTAGAATATGACCCTCTCCCATAACTAACCACCTGGCACTCTATAGTTTAATCCACAAAGCCTTCTTGGAAGGCACAGTTCTTGTCTAACCAGAACAACAGAGCTGTTCATAAACAAACGTATTTTCATGGTATCATCTGCTGTATTCCATCTAAATAAAGTAAATGCCGCAAATCCAAATGGAACTTCTTAGTATCAAGCACTGTCCACGTGTACAGGCTTGAAATGGAGAGAATTAAGATTCCCATTCAGTACCAATTACAAAATGAGGATTTTGCTAAATTAGAAGTCTGAATTTTGATACCACATATCTACACTGAAGTTATGTGAACAACCAAGGCAATCAGTCTGTCAGATGAGTTATATCATTAGGCAAAAATCTGAGGTATGCTGTACTGGAAAAGATCTTCATACCAATCCTAATTGGCTGTGTGTTAAACATTGTGCGTACAAACACTGTAAGGTTACCTCAGGCTATTCAAATAGACTGCAAGATGATGGGGAATATCTTTGCAAAAGAGCAGTATATAACCTGTTGCAATCTTTAGCTTGTGAATATTTCTTGGAATTTTACTTTTTCTCTACTCTCTCCTCCCCTTCAATCTCAGAAACAAACTAAATTGCATACAAACTACATTAAGTAGCTTCTTAATGTCAAGGCTACTTCTCTTACCTCAAATTCAGTCTTCAAAGACCTGACTAACTTAACGCAAATGTGTCTGAATTATCAAAATGTTCTCACATCATTCAGATTTCCTTTCAGGTGCACAGTTTCAGAATTCCTTTATGAGTGCAGATTCTTTTCAAAGATTGCACTGCCTAGCAAGTGAATATGCAACTTTGTTAAATATAACTGCTTCTCACACAATTGCAATTTTAAGATGTTCTACAGAATTCAGAATGGAAGCCAACTGCATGTGGAGCCTGGCAGCCTCTGGCCATTTCGACTTACAGTTGCCTCTGGTACAGGCAGTTACAAAGCTTCAAACAAAGTCCCTCCATGCTCTGTAGTTATTTTCTGCATGCAGCTAACTCGCTGCTCCAGCAGCTGGGTTTAAAAACAAGCAAGATATTTAACAGGAGTTATTTCTTGAGCTAAGCAGCCACAAATTCTATGGTATGTGAATGTTTACCATGTTTAGAGTGCTATCATATTCTTTTGGCAAAAACCCGGGGTTTTAAAAAAAAAAAAAAAAAAAAAATCACCTCTTCAGAATAACATCTCTGCCACCACTTTAGCTGAGGACACATCCATATGTTCTCGTGTTGCAGCAAAGCATTTATAGGCAAGTTCTTGTTGTTTTGCATCTTCATTCACCATTAGCTCACCATACAGGTACACACCCATTGCCTGCAAGAGGAATAAACACACATTCATCCTATCACCAGTTATGACCAGCTAGCAAGTTTTTGTTCTATATACCTCTTAGAACTCACTGAATGCAAGAAAAAAAAAGGAAAAAGAAAAAAGAAACAAAAGTCAAAAACACCCCACCAAAAAAAAAAGACTATATGCTCTATAACATATATTCACACCTCCCCACTAAATGTAGTGTTCTCTGGCTGTTTTTAGTCTAAGGAACACTGTCTATATATAGTATCAAGCATGTAAAAAAGGAACATTAATGTAAGAGAAGTATGTTATGCCATGAGAGGAAAATGCCATCCCACTCCAATTTTCTCACCACTTTCCAAAAGTTGAAATGTGTTCTCTTTTATCCACTACCTGAAATGATTCCAAACAGCACTTAAGAAGGCAGCTTGTCCTCCTTTAATAGGAGAAACATTTTCTTTCAAATTGTGATGTTTACACACCCAGTAATTAAGAGCATATCAACTGAAATAGTCCATTCTAAAATGCCCATCTGGCAATTCTGTAACTGGAAATCAGTTGAAAATGGTCAGGTCTGTGTTTCAAAATAATCTCGTCACATGCAAGATAGGGCTGAACATGCATACAGTTCTGGTCTGGTAGGAAAACAGGCTTTTCCTGACTCCTGATTTTGGGAATAGCAGAAATCAAGAAAGATAACTGAGCTTGTGGGGGCAAAATCTGGGCCCCTTTGGCAGTAATAAAGCATCAGCTAACTAAAAGGAGACAAAATTTCCTTGTGAAGTGCCCCTTTTTTTTTTTGCCTGATAATACAAATATTGTCATCTAATTCAAGGAATTCAACAAGTTTTAAGTTGCTCATACCAAAATAGTATTGTACATCTGACTTAAAATATCAGCAGATTAACAAATTAGCTTTTACAGTTGTACTCAATGTTTAGATAGTTTCAGGAGAAGAAAAAATATGGATATCATTGAAAAAAGTTATTTTTAATACTATT